GCATCATATTGAACAGAAATTTACACTACTTTTTCGAACTGTGTAATACCCCGTATGGTCTGGGCTTATATCATGTAATATAGGCTGTCTTACAATAAACACTCATACATAGGATTTCCAGTGAAAACTTGATGTATGAGTGCTCATTGCAATACAGCCTAACCGTGAACAGGAACTTTTGAGGACGAGAGCGTCAAACGCGCTTCCTAGGTTGTCAACTCACCATTTGTAGCCCCATACAATAGATCAAATCAAATAGGTATAGATTATATGACTATGTTAGCTATGTATCAATGGAAATGCATGGTAGTCCAGTCGCATAGGAGTATTGAGTGAAAATCCAAAACTTGATAACTTCAACAAAATATTACTCAAAAACGAATAAAACACAAAGCAGATTTTTTGATATGTTGTGTAGAAAAGCCTAAATTTTTAAGGAAAAATATAAAAACATATTGCGGGCTCTGTCTACAAACCATAAAAAACCATTTAAAAGTACATTTTGTCGTAAACAATGAAATTTTCAAAAATGCCTCAAAAGTTGTTCTTAGAAAAACTTTTTTATTGAAAGTTTGTCCATCCTAAAGTTGTTTTCAAAACTTTTGCTTTCTATTCAAGTTTTTATAAAAAATCAAAAATATTTTTTTTTTTGTTATTTGAATTTTGAGGTTTATTTTTATTTTTTGACGTTGGATAACGTCTTTCGGCAACAAACAGGGGTACAAAATTAAAAACAGTCATTTTGGATGCGTTACGAAAAATTAAAAGATTTTGAACGATAATAACTCAACCGTCTCTCGATAGATTTACGAGATAATGGCATCAATCGATTGGAAATATTTCTAGCAATTTGCTGAATGTTTCAAAACTATTGATTTCATTCTGTAAACTATTGAAAAATGGTTAAAAGTAAACCATTGTCTAAAGCTGGTGAACATCGATCGATTTTTTTATATTCTTATACTTTCTCCAACCGAGACATCAGATGCGAGTAGCTGACACCTCTGATATTTTCTGTTCTACTATATAAGCGTCCAACAAGGTCGCCCGTTCCATCATTGTCTATCCGATCGTCGACCCAGCAGCAGAGCAGCAGAGTAGCAGTACCAGCGGAAGCAGAGCAACGGCAGCAGAGCAGCGGCAGCAGAGCCTGGGGGCGAAAGGGCAACTACGCCGAGTGCGTTGGTGCCAGTGCTCCGGTATACTGGGCCGCCGTCATGGAATGCCCATCTGCTGCAGTTCTCAGTCGGTCGTATTCACCGTCTGCTCCGCAAGGGCAACTACGCCGATCGCGTTGGAAAAGTGGCCACAACATTATCAAGAAAGAGTTTAACGTACGTATGCGAGTATCTGATACCTCTGATATTTTCTGTTCTACTATATAAGCGTCCAACAAGGTCGCCCGTTCCATCATTGTCAACAACATCAGCCCAACAAAACGGCCCTTTTCAAGGCCACCAAACTTTCGCAAAAGAGTTATTACGGAATATTCCTAAAATATAATATACACAATTAAGTACAACACATAACAGACGTTATCCAACGCCAACCCTGCGGTCGTATCTAGTATACAACCCTTCCAACTTTTTTTTGTAAAAAAAGAAAAAAAAAATTCCGTGTATATTTTTTTTATAAAGCCTTATTAGTTTCCTACAACTCCTTCTTAGTAAATTTTTTTCTACAACCAACTGTTTTCGAACTACATTTTTTTTAAAGTATGTGTGCAAAAACACATAGGCCCTTTTCAAAAACTACCCCTGAGTCAAAAGGGACTTCTCTCCTGCGGAAAATACTTGGTCTATCATACTGAAAATATGGGCAAAGAATCATCCAAATCGAAGATGGTCGAGCACGATTTCAGGTTTTTTCAGCTCATTCTGGATGGAATCCATCGTTTTGCTATGGAATACATGCCTTATCAAATTACATGAGAATTCATGAACAAGATCAATGACAGCAAAATCGAGTGCTCAGGACTACATTGGCTACATTCGGCCATGTTTTGAGTACCCCTGGCAAATTTACCAGTTTATAACTAGGACCAAAATCCATCTTGCGACACATCAAATCACATCAGAATTCAAAAACAAGGTTAACGACATCGAAATCGATTGTCTAGGATTTGTCATGTCCGGCCATATTCCGGGTACCTCCCGAAAACGTGACCAGTTTCTTACTACGAACAAATCCCAATATGTGAAAATCACATCATAATTATTAAACAAGATCCTGGTATAAATGGGACATATCGAGTATACAACACTTCATTAAGAACCCAGGACCACATTTGCCAACACCTGGATATGTTCCGGATACCACCAGCGAAGTTGCTCAAAATTTGATTACGTAACATCTAATCATACCTTTTTTTAAATAAGCTATCTTGAATACACATTAGATAAGCACAACAAAGATGAAATAGTAATGTTTAGCGAATAGACGTTACCTTGATTTGTTTACCGTCGATCTTGTTTTCCGTGCTGAGCACCAATGCTACCGACGCCAGGAAGGCAGCTCCCACACCTATCGACCCATCAAACTCATGAACCGGGGACCAACGGCTTTACTTCACTTCCGACGGAAGGCGTGATCAGAGATGTTATACCTCAAAACATCCCGACGGCGCCGACTGGGATTGAACCCAGGCCTGCTGGGGTGAGAGGAAATCACGCTTACCACTACACCACCGGCGCCGCTGAGATAGACGTTACCTTGTTTCAAGTTTATTGCAGGCAAAATAAAATATTCATAACTATTTAAACTAAATATGAGACAGTTTTGCTTTAACTTGCTTCTTGCAACTTGCATTGGATTGGAGTGATGTTAGTTCAGCAATCACAAAGTGTACATTTGCTGTCAATTTTATCACCTGTATATTCGTTAGAATATTTCAACAGCACACGCTTGCCTGTTATTCTAACGTATGTCGGAGTCTACTTCCCGTGCGGGCCTGGTTGTGTGTCAATCACATAGAGATCTAGGCTTGTAAAAGCGCTAGCCTGTCAACTGCTTGTTTTTTTTGTCGCGACTGAGCATCGCTATTAGATTGGTACCTAGCTACATTTAACATGCGCTTGAAAATGTCAAGCACGTGTACGTCCAGATTAGCTCGTGAATCAAACGCTCGCGGCTGATACATATCTGCGAGCCCATATGAATAGCAGAAGAGAGGGTGGGTGGTTCAGAACTGAACAAAAAAAAAACTATCTAAAGTATGTTATCAGTAAACGTGGTCTATTAATGAAGGTTCATACAAATCGAGGACGTCCGATTTCTTGAGAATTGTGAATTTCTTGAGAATACACTGGAGTCGCTTTTTACGCGGTTTTTTTTTACACGGTTTTTTTTTACGCGGTTTTTTTTTACGCGGATTTCGGAATTTACGCGGTTTTTTTTTACGCGGATTCCGGAATTTACGCGGTTTTTTTTTACGCGGATTTTGGTTTTTTTTTACGCGGATTTCAGAATTTACGCGGTATATCGCTTTTTACGCGTTTTTTTCTTACACGGTCTTTTTTTACTCGGTTTTTTTTTACGCGGATTTCGGAATTTACGCGGTTTTTTTTACGCGGATTCCGGAATTTACGCGGTTTTTTTTTACGCGGTTTTTTTTTACGCGGGACGTATCACCCGCGTAAAAAGCGACTCCAGTGTACAGCGTGCATGCCTCTTTTGAATGCTACTGAGTGTAGCCACTATTGCTTGGAACTAATCGTCCGCATATGCTGGAGGATTACTGTGTGCATTTTCAGCAACAAAGTTGGCGAAATGATGTCTGCGGTATTTCTCGGTATCCATCGTAGTTGGCGTAGGCAAATTCTGTGAAGGGGAAGGAGGGGGTGGTTTTCTGATTTCAAAGAGAGCTTCACAATGACGCCCGGGGATTTATCACATGTATGAGGGTTGAGATCTGTGCAGTGAGCTGCACGTTCTGCCGTTAGTTGTAAAATAACGCTATGAAATTGTACATTTCCTGACTGCTGGTCGAACAGTGATGGCAACTGATTTGGGGAAATGCTTACAAAACATAATTAGTGACTGAACATGCTTACAAAACATAATTACATATTTTTAATTATAACGTACAAACCTAGAATGATGGGATTCATCGAAATTTTTAAGTAGCTGCATGATATTACCACAGAAAAACGAACATAAATCTGCAAATATTATTGGATTCATAACATCGTCCTGGCAGCAAGGTTGCAAAGACTCATTTCAGCTAAAATAATGTTTTTCGGAATAATAAAACCAAAAGATGGTATGATGGCATGTTTTACTTGTAACTTACAAGAAGAGGTTACAAAGTATGCGTTGGAAACATAAAACCTGTAAATTTTGCTTTCTATGAGTCACAATCAGCGACTTGCTGATCGCTGAGTGAGTGAGTGAGTGAGTGAGTGAGTTTGTGAAAAATCGCTGATTGTGACTCTCATGAAGTGAAATAAACAGGTTTAATATGTCAAACACATTCTTTGCAACCTCTTCTTGTATCCTACCAATTCAAAATTTGATCATGGCATCTAATTATTTCATAATTTAGAAAAACATTGTTTTAGCTGAAATGAGTCTTTGCAACCTTGCGCTGGCAGTAGTGCTTTATTAGCCAATGATGGATTCTTCTATTTTGATTTGTTGCTTCGTTTCTGAGAAATTGCTCTTTGGCTGATGCACTTTTGTCTTATTCGATACCAATTTGCTTCATGGACTGGCATCTCTTGCAGAGATTTTTTTTTTTAATTTTAGCCAAATTTGTAAAATTTTATTTTTAATGGTACTCCTATATTGACTAGGTTTATTCCACTTGTTATAGTTTTTCTGGGTGAACAAGTTTGCGCCAACGAATGCTTTTCAACGTTGTTTGAGAACACTGCACGGCTGCTCCCCACCAGTCCCAGTGCTCACGTTACTGTGAGAGAAATACTCAGCAGTGAGTGAGCCTCTTGCTCTCCTCTCGGGAATGCGCTTGCTCACAGTCAGTCAGTCAGTCGTTCAGTAGATATGCAACGCCGGGTATTCGCGACCCTTTTTACCGCTAGACGAGAAGCCGTCGCGGTTTCCCATTCTTTGTGCACAAGCACTCCTCTAGTCAACGTTGGGACGCGCATATGATCGGATGTGTATTGTGAGTCTACTGTTCGCCGTCGTGTTCAGTTGTTGGTGCAATTTTGATTCGCGTATGGGAAGATACACACAGCGGAAAGCCATAGATCATAACAGAAACAATTCAGAAAGTTCCGGTGTCCGGTGAATTTGAAAAGTGCGTTGATTAACATACAAGAGAAGCAATTTGGTGGTGCGCTTGTCTGGAAGTGGAATATAAAACAGTCAGTGCCGGAAGATAATTTGCGGCCAAAAACCGCAAGCACGCATCCTGTTGCAGAGTATTCGTGGTAGCTCTCGGCCGAGAGAAGCAAGAAAGGCGAAGAATTAATAAGAGGTTAATAAGTCCCGTCCAAAATTCTGGTGAATTGTGCAAGTCTCTGTTCAAGTTCCTCAGCCGAGCATTGGATATAAGAAGCTTACAAGCAAAACAGTAGTGAATAAAAGCAGACAAAGCCCACGTCGGGCAGTTTGGTTCCCCCTTTTTGAGTTATCGGTTTCGTTGTTGGATTATTAGGTCCCACCTTCTCATCGTCGTCTGTCTGGAGTTGTCGTCGCGCTTGGTGTGAGTATATGTTTACACTGTTGAAACAAATGCAGTAGATTGTAATCGTTAAGCGAATACTTAATTAATACGATGATTGAGAGGCTTCATTGTTATGTGGTAAAATCACCTTAAACCTTTTCTGGGATGAATTGAACTTCTTGATAAAGATATTATTTTTTAACAGTGCATTCTAAGGGTGGTGAGCCAGATGGTTGTTTGAATTCTCTTTTTGCATGTGATTTTTTGCCATGATATGCTGCTGGTGCATACGTAGAGTATGAAATGGTAGACTGCATCGAAGATGTGTACAGTACACTCAAAATGTGGTTTATCAAACGAGAAAAAAAACATGGGCCATTCAAATGAATTTCGGTTGTACGTTTTTCTGGAATTTTACTCAATCCAATAGTTCGTGGAAATAATTAATGAGCGGAAAGGTATTTCCAGTGAAGTACATATGATAACTATAGTCGCTGTATTTATAGCCTGTCGGATAGAATCTCGGGAACCAATTGAGCTGTCAAGTAGCGGAACCAATCGAGCATATCACGACCAACAACAGAAAAGAGCACATCAGCTTTTGCGAACTAAACTTTGGAAACCGTTTTCTGGTGATTCAAGGTTCGCCTACGCAAAAGAACACCATTGTCGGGTTGGGGAAAGTTTCCCCTATCCGATGATGCTGTTAAGCTGCGTTCGGTTGGCGAGGAAAGAACTATCAATGTTTAGTTTATAAAAGTTGATAGTACCTTTTAAATTGTTGGTCTACAATATATTGAATTGGTTCCGCTTTTCGATCAGTCGAAAATTGGTCCACCAGACTATAATTATAGTGACTATAATGATAACGTCATAGATAACATTACGGACAGCAAGTGGGTAATCTGGAATAGGAATAGTGTAATAGTAAGTAATTAAATAAACTAATTTTAAAAATATTGAATGAAATGCTAGTAACTGACATACTAAGTGTAATGCCCGGGTAGATGTTCTAATGTTGATATGGATTCGCACGACATTAGAGGTAAAATATCAAGAAATAGGGGAAATGGCTCTAATGTTGGCCTATGAATCTAAGATTGGGCCCATCGCAAAAAATCTGCTATTTATCATTCTATCTAGATGAACGCTTCATTGGCAAAATTTAGTCGATTGCTGAATTTATTTATGGCCCCAAATTAGGGGCATTTAGGCCGACTTTACATCCATTTCCCCTAATAGGTGTGTTTCCGTACTTGCTTTTCAGAAGTACAGCAAAAAGCAAAAGTATGTTCGCGTACTTGCTGCACTATATTATTTTCTTATAGCAACTTACAGAAAGTTGCAGCAACTTACAGCAAAAGCAAAAAAAGCAAATGCAGGAACACCTCTGATACCACAGTAAAAATGCATGGCTAAACCATTTCAGTGGCATTAACGACCGTGCTGGTTTTTTGCAGTTTTAGGTAAAAAAGCGAATGAGGGAAGATTTTTTACCTTATTCATATACACGTCAATGATAAATATCGTTGAAGTAATGAAAGATTCTTGGCTCAGCTACTGTAGTCAACGTCACTGCATTCCGATTCCATGAAATTCTGCTGAACACTAAACTACTAAAACAAATATTAAAACTATAATATTTTTTTACACGCGAAGATTTCACGTTATCTCGTTTTCGAAGCATTATTTAATATACTGAATCCCAAAAAATTATAGATATACTTTCATGTTTGACTATTTAATATATGTTACACATCAAAGATGCGCCACACCTATTAAAACAACCAGGCCCAGTGTGCGGTATTAAAGGGGAAAGATGATTCAGATAACATCGGGTCTGTTTATATCGAAGATTTTCACACGATGCTTCAGAATCCAACAAACGATTTCGACGTTAACAAGTCAATTATGCGTTTGATACGATACCTTAATTTAAAAGCTACCGCGTGAAGTCAATGAGAACGCGTGATATTAATGTTTGCACCCATTATTCTCAAAAACAAAAGAAGCGCTCCGACCGCTTCAATTTTTATCTTAATGTGACAGGCCGAAATTAATCCAATGGCGTTTCAATACGTTAGGCCGAATTTAGAATCCGTAGGCCGAGTTTGGAGTCAAGGTTAGGTTTTTAACAATATCTCAAAAAATCCTACGGAACGCACGGAGAAGTCATATGCAGGGAAAACATTCCATTTTGTGAAAAAATCGCTCGAAAAATATAGGCATATGGTGGGTTAAATTTAAGCCCTAGAAGAAACGTGGACATCTGGTACCGTAGATTTCGTTGTTTTGTCATCTTCAAATGGTTGGTCGTTGGTATCATACATTATAGACTGCCTCTATAAATGTTGCTCCATTTTCTTCTGACGGTCGTCCCGACCGTATGTGTTTAACTCATAAAACCTGTCATTTTCGCTTTCAGTGAGCGCTCACGAAACGTAAAATCTCTGACGCACTGAAAGCAATATTGTCAGGTTTTATGTGTCAAACACATACTTCACAACCTCTTCTTGTAACTTACAAGTATTAATAATCATTATAACATCTAATGTTTTCATAATTCCGAAAAACAATTTTTTATAACAAGTGAGTGGAAGTAACCCTGTGCACGGGTGAACTTTTGTTCATCTACTGAAAAAAAATGACACAAGAGCGGGGCTCTGTTTACTAAAAATGAGCACAGGAATAATGCTCGCGCAACATTTCAAAAGGGCCTATCAACTTTTGTAAACCATTTTTTAAATCCTTTTCACGATAATCGAAGTACGCCCACCTACACCAAGAGCATTATCGTGAGGGGAGTGTACAAAAGTTGATAGGCTCGTTTCATATGTTGCGAGTATTATTCATGAGTTCATTTTGAGTAAACAGGGCCCCGCTGTTGTGTCACTTTTTGTCGAGTGGGTGAACTCGAATCCATCCGTGCACTCGTCTATACATTAGTTACCATTTCAGCTTTACCTTGTCGTTTTCGCGCGCACATACACAATTCGAAAAAGTAGAAATTCTGTTCAGTATGATGCACATAAATGGAGCGTCACATTTCATATAAGTTTACATTATATATCATGTAAAATTCTGAGACATTTCATGCAATGTAGCAAATATTGTATACAAAATCCCATTGTTGTAAACAACATTGTTTACAAGTTGCTCGGTTGCGTGAAATGAAATGCAAGTTTACGTGAATGAATGTTTACATCATTATTAAAATGCATCTGTCCAGGTAAGCTTGAAAACAAAGGGGTCAAAAGTAAACATGTCGAAGAAGATTAATCAGCTGGTTTGAAACAACGGATTCAAAAGTAAACATCAGAAGAAATGTCTTGGAAACCAAGCCTTACATATGTTCCAAGGTGGGATTGGTGAGAGCAAAATCGAACGCAAAACGACGAAATTAAAATCACTCTAGTCTAAATGGAGAAAACTTTCGCAATATCTTAAACCATCAATATTATTGTTATAATTCAACTTCATATCAATATATTACTTTTTGGGTTGAAAAAATTCCCGACTTCTCTGGTAATCATAATGCAAAAATGATACAGGCTTAAAAAGCTCTCAATTAACAACTGTGGAAGTGATCAAAGAACGGCGTAAAGTGCCAGTATGGACCTAATAAGGCCAAATAAGGAAAAGTTCAATTCAACGATGATGACGGCAATGGAAATTCCCGACGCTCTGTGGTTTGTTCTGTAATTATTTAGAAACTGACAGCATTATCTGCTAATAATGCACGATTGACGTGTAAATCTTTCTAACTACAACTACCAACACAACGGATCCTGATGTAATTGGCGACAAGGGTGACGCCATCAACGAAAATTGTGTACGTATGAATGCTCTCACAACACGGTACTTGTGAATTATTGGCACCACCTACAGAACTATAATATCAATGAGTAGAGGCGACGTTTTATTGTAAACGGCCGATGAAATCAACTCAAAATTGAGTCGGATTTCACTCAAAATATTAAAAAGTGTGTGTTTTTAGTGTGTGCTGATTATCCGTTTCCTGGTCATTGGTAAAAAGATTTCCGTTGTGCTGCAGCGTCCTGGTTCTTCCGTTTGGGGCAGGAGTTCATCCGGCGACCCTCCCTCTTGCAAAGGAAGCATTTATCCTTATTACCGTCATCATATACATACACATACATGTATATATTCCCCTTACGATAGTGGAAATGTAGCGAAATGGGAATTTCCTTTTCCATATCCATGTATACACCTCGATGATGTTGATGCCCAACTCCCAGCACTAACGCTAGCTCAAGGTTAAAAACCTCAGGTGGAAATGTGTACACCACAATTATATGGGTGAAATTTTTTATCATTTTTTTCAACGGGTCAACTGCTAGATTTGTGTCATTAGGTGAAAAACTCTGAAAAATTCAGCTCATTTGGATATAACACGAGCCGGCGCTTTTGATTTAAAATTTATATGGGGATATTGGTTGAAATGCATGGAGAAATAATATTCCTTCACTTTTTCGTGCATATCAAACTCGATTAAGCTCAGAATGTCAGAACACGAAGCTTATACTATAAGGAACAACTTTGCTGAAGACGGCATCACGATTCAAAGTAGTATTATGGAGATATTAATTTTAATTAATTAGGGGAAACGGATGTAATGTCGGCCTAAATGCCGCTAGTTTGGGCCCATACATAATTTCAGCAATCGACTAAATTTTTTATAGCGACCAAAAATATCCATCAGTACAGTCCGGTACAGACGCGGTTATCTAGATAAAAATGGTAAATAGCGGATTTTTAGCGATGGGCACAATCTTAGATCCATATGCCAACATTAGTGCCATTTTCTTTTTCTTGATTTGTTTTTCGTCGATCTTGTTTCCCGTGCTGAGCACCAATGCTACCGACGTCAGGAAGGCAGCTTCCACACCTGACCCCACCTATCGACCCATCCACTCATGAACCGGGGACCAACTGCTTTACTTCCCCGACTGGGATTAAATCCAGGCCTGCTGAGGTGAGAGGTAATCACGCTTACCACAACACCACCGGCGCCGCTTATTATGTGCATTCTGTTGGTATATTACAACAAAATACTGGCAGCTTATGCAACGTATCAACTAGATGACCACTAAAAATAAATGTTCATATTTCCACAGGCCAACATCCAAGCTCATGTCTTTAGGTGCGATAACCTTTTAACATTCAGCTATTTTTTGACGCTACACGGGCTATCGCTTTTGGTTTAATTTTCATATAGGAGATTTGGTTAAAATTATAGGGGAAATGGCTCTAATGTTGTCCTATGAATCTAAGATTGGGCCCACCGTTAAAAATCTGCTATCAATTTTGGAAATCTGCGCGTCATTGGGATCGTACTAATGGATATTTTTGGTCGCTTTTGAAAATTTAGTCGATTTATGGGCCCAAATTAGGGGCATTTAGGCCGACATTACATCCATTTCCCCTACATGCAAAAGCGACTATCTCAATAATATTAACTGGATTTATGATGCAATTTTCAGCAAAATTGTTTCTCAAGAACAGAACTACAAGTTTTGAAAATCTGAATCAAATCGAGAGTAAGAAAACTTTTTTATAATGGATAGAGTATAGGAGTGTCATTTTCTCGTGTATTTTATCCAAATTCCCAATACAAAATTCAAACTAAAAGCGCCTGCTCATCCTCCAACCAAATGAGCTAAAGCTTTCAGAGAATGGTTTTCTCACCTAAAGGCACAAATCTAGAGGTTGGCCCGTGGAAAAATGTGTATTGTACACACATGCACATATTGATCGACACGCTTATCTCTTCTACCTTTCCATTCGCATAAGGGAAAATTAAATCTTCCAAGATAAAAGTCAAGGCATGGAGCTTCGGATTTAAACTTTATTCAAAGTCCTTTCTCCTCTGCAATTCGATAAGCAGCTTCCATTCGACCCAGATCCACATCTAGTGATTTCACGACATTAACAATTTCGCCCACGTTTGGTTTTTAACTTCCATTGCTGAAGCTGAACTTGATGGTATTGTTTATTTCACACATACAGCTTCTAGCGAGAGCGACAAAAGCGAACTGAAAAAGTGTGGTTATTCACTGATTCGGTATAGTTTTCCTCGATTTTTCTAAAAAAATCTCACTCACTTTATGAGTATACTCGAAGAATGTGGAAAATTTTTCATCGATTTTCACCTTATTCGAACAGACTTTTGAAGAAAATCGAGGAAAATTTGACTCACTCAGTGAGAAACCCCATAATTGTGAGTGAAATTCTACTTCGCTATAGTCTTCTTGATATGATGTCTTCTCTACAATGCTTGCAATGTCTATAGTGAGAACAGTCCGATCGACAGCTACATAATTTTACCTTACACAAATGCTCTCTAAACCATTATGCCGTTGCGTTACAACGCATACAGATTTACTGTACTGCTCACGTTTTGTCTTAGTCAGAAGAGGGTAGCGACGGGAAAATGTCTCTTAGAAACTTCTTCAATATAGGGTTAATGTCCATAATGTCGGCCTAAGTGTCCCTAATATTAGGGCCATACATAAATTTCGAATGAAAGCGTTTTTTGACAATGTTTCACTAGCCACCAAAAATATCCATTTGCGTTGGGCAGATATCGATGGGCCCAATCTTTAGATCCATAGACCACAATTAGAGCTATTTACCCTATGTACAGGATTATGGGTAAATTTTCTTCGTTCAGGCCAGATAAAATCTAATCGGAGGGATTAAGTTGACCACAAGAGTCTCTATTACGGAGTGGAATGCGCAATGTTTGGTGTGAGAATTGTCTCTTTGATATAATTAATTAGTCTTCGAGTTCAAGTGAAAGGGAATCCCAAAAGAAATAAAATAATAATTGTACCACAGCAGATTAGACTGCTGGATTCTAAGCATTCAATGATGGGTTTCCTTTCGATCGTTTTTTGCGTGTGAGGCGATCCTTTGCTATGCTATTGCTTTTGGCTCGAAGTCGTCACATAGAGAAGAGCCACGAGTTTATTAGAAATTCATCGATCCGTTGTTCTGCGAAATATACAACCAACCAATCCTTTGTTCGCTCCGCACGAGCAGGGTTTCATTTAATTAGGAGTTAAAGAGTTTTCGGCGTGGAAATTTGGGTTCCCCGTTTTGTTGATCAAATAATTTAAGGGGGATTTACGTTGAAGCGTGGGCATGGTATTTGTTCTATCGAAAGCAACATTGATGATTTACGGTTCGTTGAGAAAGCGATGGATGAAAGCCGTTACTTGAGCCAGGTAATGCTGTTTGCATCGGTACACGTTACAAGGCATGTGATGTCATGAGTTAGGCTGTTTGGTAATTGTATACTGCAGACTGTTTAAATCATGATAATTGTCTTTACAGTGGGCATGGATTTCATCCGATTTTGTAGTGCAACCGGCTTGGATCAAGAATCAGAAGTCAATTGAATTGAAATCCAGACAGTCAGTTCTTATACATATATGAATGTGTCAAGTCATTCTCGATGACGCGCTCAGAGCTAGTTATTCAACAGCTTGCATAGTGATTTATTTTCAAATTCCGATGATGATTTCCAATGCTAATCCTGAGCTCTCGTTTTGTTTTCAGATCCCGTACAGTGTAATCATGCCGCCGGCTACTGAGCTCGAGGATAGTGTATCGACCGACGATTGTACCAATCAGTCCCAATCATCGGCAGAGGATACCAGCTGCAGGACAGCTAGGTCGTCTTCGCTGTCGGTGACGGGTTCGGATCGTGAGACAGAGCACTCTTTTGTCATTCAATCACCGGTGGGTTCACCTGCGGCCAGCATGGTTGGAGTTAATTCGAATTTCTCCGTCATAAATTACGGTGAGTAATATTTGACTAAGTAGGGAGGGTATCCATCATTTTCACGAATTTTGTAGGTATGATATTTTTTACGACTGTGAGTGTTTCAAATCGTTTTGAATTATAGCATTAGAGAATCTACCAGATGCTTTACATGAAGAGACAAAACAACGCTTTTCTCGTCATTCATAACTAACTATATTTGCATTAACGTTATCGCGTGATGTTGATAGACGTCCACGAGCGTTGAGTACGAGTTGGCTCCTTTTTTTTACTACCGTCAGAGAACGAGAATTTGTACGGTCCTTGGAGTGATTATGTACGCATCTTCTTTTGTTGAAATGCTTAAAAGCTTTTTTGGCTTTCTTTTGTACACATATGAAATCATCCAAAAAGAAGTGAAAGTTTTCTATTGTCGATTGTAAACTGATAAGTTTGCTCCTTAGTTGTTCCTGAATGGATCAATCAATATGACGAACCAAAGATTGATGAATTCACATGCCAAAACATGTTTAAATGTTAATGTAATTTTAGCAAGTGATAATGTGATCGGATTTAGGTCGTTAACTTGTACCGGTTTCGAGAAACCGCGTTAATAAAGGCACGTAAAAACCGACTTCAGTGTAGATTATTGACCAAGGTAGATTGATCATTTAAGACCCATTGTCGATCAAAATAAATTGTTAATCAAAGTACGTTTTTGATCATGGAAAAATATTGATTAAGGGCAATTGTTGATCAAGGCAAGTTTTGATCAAGGAAAATTTATTGATATGCTGTTGATTCAGGTAGGTTGAATGAGGGAAAATTGATGACCAATGTTCTTCAAAACAGATTCAAGAAAAGGATTGAAGGCAAGCTGTTATTGATCGAGGTAGAATGTAGATCATGAAATATGATAGATTATGAACATTTTATGATCAAAAATAGTTGTTCACGATATGCTTTGTTGATTAAGTCAGATTACTGACCGAGAAAGATTGAGGATTAAGGTAAATTGTTGTTCAAAGAATCAGACTTTTATCTTTCGATAAATTATCATAACCGTAATTTCAAATCTTTCTCATTCATCGTCAAGATTGATGTTTAAGCTATTCTTTGGTGCAATAAGACCACTGAAAAAGCGAATGGGTTTCGTAGAACATTAGAAAAAAAAATCAAAAAGAGGGCTTATAAAATCGGGAAATTACTGTATCTTAAGATTTCGTTTAGTATAATTTATTAAATATTTCCAGAATTTATTTGAAAATGGTTCTACATACTTGAATTTCTAGGGAGTTCATTTAAAGTTCTTAGTACTATTTCTTTCCTCGTCACTTTCCCTACAATCATTTTAAATTTTACATATTAATATTGGACATTCTGGAAAAAAGATGTGATAACTTTCTACAATTCCTTCAGAGTTGAACATGAATTTATAATTTATTTCAAATAACATTTTTTGTATGCTGGAAGAACCTTTATACACACAATTAATTTGATCATTGGAAATCAAATAGAAATTTGATCCACCTAACGGTGTGCTAATCACATACATTAGAAAACGTGTGCTTCGATTGCGAAAACAAACAAAGTACGTCATGACAAATTATGACCATCGATAACAAATAGGTTGACCACGCTTAATAATCTGGAAGCCGTTTGTCAACGTCTAAAAATTCGACACATCATTCCTTATTGATCACGTGTCAATCCAATGCGCTCCAATCGTTTCTTCCATTTCAAATTCCCCAAAGTCCCTTGTGCCAACGTTCTTTATACCACCTCGCCTGCAGAAAACAAGACCACGTGCTCGTCACACTGGCAGCCGTGTGTCTAAAGGGCGTCTTGCTTCCAATAAATTTCCAACGAGAGCGAAAAAGGTGGGCAAAGGTTGTAGACTCTCTGTAACCAAACCGCCGCCGCCACGCTGCTGATTATGTGCAAACGACAGCAGCGAATCGCAACCGTCGGCATTCACATGTCCCGGCGTGTGATTACCCGAAACTGACCTAGACAAATTGTGTATGTTTACTTCGAGAAACTCTTCCAAGCATACTGCGTACCTAGCACCGTTCGAATTAGTAATTTTGACTATTTTCTTTCCTATTGCAATGTATGCCCGTACACGGTTTTCTTGGGGTATTCGTGACGTATGATTGAATTTACTTGCTCGACGGAGAATGCAGATATATGTAGATAACGAAATTCACATGTTTCGGAGGGTGAGTTATTTCTACCCTAGTTCTGCTTCAACAGCAGCACTGTCATTGTGCGGTTAACTTTCAGAACATAAGCAGTTGGCGATGGGAATTTGCAGTGCATCTTTTCCAGAAAGACACGATAGTATCAACGTGTTTTTGTAGCGTATATTTAGCTTCCAACGCGTTGCTATTTGTTCAATGTGTCTGGCGTGTAATGTACATCAATCCTGGCTGATTGATAACGTTGCTCAGTTGCATTTGCGAAGAGCGCAAATTTTGGAGTTTATGAAACATGGCAAACTATTGTGGGCTGAATAGACAGTTAATCATATCGTCAGGCTGTTTTTTACAGAGATGGCACTGGTCCGCTGGTAGGAAGCTATTAAAATCCCCACACAGAACTTGAAATAAGTGGGAATAGTTTGCTTTCGATGGCATATTCAGGTCAAGTAAACGACATCCTAAAGAAATCAGTCAAGAACTTTGTCGTTCAGTTTTTTCCCCGTATATCATTGTTAAACAAGGTACAATTAAATAAAAATAGTATTTTCCCAGGGGGCCTCATAGCCTAGTCAGTAAAGGCACGGTATTACCAAGCCGGAGGCGGCGGGTTCGATTCCCGGTCCGGTCGAGGGAATCTTTCGTGTTGGAAATTTTCTCGACTTCCCTGGGCATAGAGTATCATTGTGCTTGCCACACAATATACAAATTCATGCATTGGTATTGGCATCGAAAGCTCTCAATTAATAACTGTGGAAGTGCATTTAGAACACTAAGTTGAGAGCACGCAATAAGCTAATATGCACTAAGCAATAAGCTTGAAATTGGAATAAGAAGAAGAAGTATTTTCCCATAATTTTTTTATCCGGTTTACTACCAGACCCAAGAGAGCCAAAAAGTTCAAATCCAAGAGCGAAGTTTTCTCTCACGAGCTCAATCTCTCAACATGCCATGTATATTGATTTCCCTTTCACAGACTACAAAGTTTAGTACCTAGTCATGAAAAAATGTTAGAGCCCTTATTTATGCAATTAGATTTGGCATCCAGGGGAGGAGCTTGGCAAGTATTTTTGTCGTCGAATACGTAAGAAAGGAAGGACTCCGGATTTTGAAGGTACCATATATGTTTTGACCGCATTGCCCCTGTTAACAATTAACGGAACCAAGTATATGCGTAATTTCCGATAGATGTCACCATTAAGTACAGCAGTGACATCTGAATTATATATTAGCAGAAATTTTGGATTGGTGCCAACCTTAACATAATTTCACCTTCGATAGGCCTATTCAGGTAAATCAATTTCATACCGACTTCTTGTGGCTAAAATTCATAAGTGATTCTTATGGAATTCATACGTTCCTGAACTCCCCGACGATTTGCTAATGTACCTTCGATGTGTGTAAACAGTTCTGTCGATTGTTTCCCACTCAAGTCGCAATCTGACGCAAGCATCTAGTCGATAGGTTTGGAAATTGCAGCTGAGTGTTACTCAAACTTTTTCGTAGCCACCGGTGCTCGTTTCGAATTCTCCCAGCAGAGCAATCACAGCCAAATGATGTGGGCATGACTCGCATACAATAATCGTCTGAACTCAACTCATTTTCCCTCCAAGTTCACCGAGCAGCACACGTGCTGCTCGAGTTTGAGTACGCGTGGTAACAACCCAGATCGTCAATCATGGTGGATAAATGGTTCTCGTATAATGAGCCACTCACGAGCACGGGGGGGTCTGCCTTGTAGGTAAACATTTCTCCGTCGTCTCCGTTGGGATAATTGCAGTTCCGGTCTCGTGCCGTACAATGTTGAATCGCTGTTGTGAATGATAATCGAATGTTGATGGAAACTCCAATGACGGTCAGCCTTGTTGATAAAGTTTTCAGACTAAAACTTGAGGATTGAATCACCATACAGCTCCAGTTTAATTTTGGAATTTCTTCCGGAACGAGGGGGAAACAACTTTTCCCTTTTGTATATACGGTCATGACTTTGCTAGTTTGCACACCGCAATGTTACGCTTCTCTTTGTGTGTCTGATCAGCCTCAACTGGACCAACCGGCGGCGTTGGAACGTGACTGGTCGAGTGTTAATACTCAGTGCCGTTTGAAAGAATATTCTATGACGCGTGATTAACTGGTGTGTTCACGGTGGCTGTAAAACGTGTTTTTTTTAAATTGGTCATTTTTCATATGCCTGTAAAAGAAAGGATCTGTCTTCGCCTTTAGGTGGTTGACCCGTGATTGCAATACCTTATTAGAGTGTCACATACCGTAGATAGCACCGAGCACGTGTTGCCGAGTTTAGTTTTCAATTAACATGCACTCTTCGGGCAGCGGGGTTAACTGAGAGCCGTCACATTGTGCGGTCAATTGTCTCACTCATCTGTTTCCTTGCTTGTAATCTTTTTTTTTTTCAAACACAAAACGTGACACACAACCCTTGTTCGGAATGGAAATCCATCGCATTGGGATGTAGGTACTCGAGGAAAAAAGCTATGTCTGTCGCTGCTAGCCCGGTCGTAATTTTTCGCTTATCTTCGCCCCAATCGGCCAGGTTTCCAATTCCACAAGGTTGGCAACGTGCTCTCGGTGAATATCAGTTTACAGTATTTGCCATCAATCATCGCCGGTTAGTTTTGTTCGATCGCAAGCTATGCAGTGGGAGTAGTGTTGCCGGGTACGTGCTGTGACGCTCGCTGAGCCATCGAGAGTGAGAGCTCACCAGTAACGGTGGAGAACACTTGCCAGTACACGTGAGTTGGTCCAAGGAGCGGCTAGCTGAGTGTGTTGAATACATGCAATCCAGTGAGTCACGCTTTGCAAACTTAGTGTGTCCGTTGCATGCTTCCGAGAAGTTGAACCTATTGGTCGGATCGTCGAGTTTGCTTTGTGATTGGAGAGGGGAGCACGATGTAATTAATTACATTTAGGAAGTATTTCCTTGTGGTAGTTATAATTCTTTTTGAAGAAACTGTCATTGATAATACTGTCAATGAATTTTAAATACATTTGATATGACATAATCCGGTTATGAAAACGCAAGAAGTCCACTAATTTACTTTGTAGCAAAATGAGGCTGGCATACTAGTAAAATAGGGCTTCTTAACTTTACGTTGGAAAATTTGGAATTACCCGACTTTTAGATAACTTGAGTAGATTGATAGATCACATCAAACGTTCTCAAAACTCATTGACAGTATCTATTCCAGTTTTTATGATTTTTCGATCATAAATTTTTCAGAATCTGGAACGAAGATACATATTCATGATGTCAGAAGGTGAACATTTTCCCAGTTCACAGATTAAAACCCTTTCATAATTTTCATGGTGAATGGAATTTGTTGACAATTTTTAAGGCACTCATTCAAAGATAGTTCTGAGGAACTTCAGATTCCATGTGAAACTTGAGGAGAATACCAAGGTGAGAATTTTTAGTAGAATTCGAAATAAACCTTAAATGGGATATGAAAAAATAATGAAAATTTAATGGAATTCCATGATAATTATGAGAAGAACTCCTTGGAAAGTCAAAGGAAAAATACATGGAATTCTGAGGGATAAATTCATGCTGTTTAGGACAAAAATATAATCTGGGGCATAATTCCATGGAAAATTTCGGAGAATACTTAGGGTGTATGCTAAACGGAGGATAGCAAATAAATCTGAGAATAATTCTTGAGAACTTCAAAGAAATTCGGAAAAGAATTCCACGAGAATGCTGACTTCAAGTCAATCATATTTTGAAAAGAAATATAAGGAATTTGTGAGGTGAACTGTAAGCGATTTTTAGAAGGCTTTCAAAGTGAGTAGAATTCCAAGGGAAGAAGTAAAATTCATATGGCAATCTTAAATTCTTTTGAGAATAATTGAGGATTTCTTACTGAGGAGAATTTCAAGCCAATTCCAAATTGAATTGAGTTCCAAGAATATTTCTTACGAAATTTGTAGAGTATTCCAAGGATATTCCGATGATAATTTTCAGAGAATTCCAAAGAGAGTTCCAATGGATTTCTAAAAAGCATTTAAAAAAAAATATGTGGGAGTCCTGAGCAGATCTAAAATGGAATTCCTAGAATAATGCCATGGGAATTTTGGGACAATACAATGTGAATGCTGAGAGTCTTCCACGATAATTAAAAGAAAGTTCTTCAGAAAATACTGAAGAAATCATGTAAAGAGTTCCAAGGGTATCAAAATGATTCCAACATAGTTTTTTTTAATCCTGGAAAACAGATATAAATCAACATACAGGATTTGAAAAACAAATCGTATATTAATAAATTAATTAATATTGAACCTTCATACTTTGAAACTTTAATGATCCTGGATTGAGACATATCTCTAACGGAGATTTATTTTTATTCCGGACATGGAGAAATTTACATTCCATGGAGAATTTTGCAAGTTCCAATTCTAACAGAAGTATTCGTAATGTCAAACTTCGAAATATTTCAAAAATTACGAACTTTAAATAAACCATTTTTTTATATTTGGCGCGACAATTTTTAAAATCTTGGCTTTAGACGTCGAAATATTAAAATACTCATTAGAAAAAACTCAGAGAATTTTATTTAGAGAAATGAATAAACATGCTGAGTTTATTTATATTGAGATAAATTTCACCAGTTACTTGTCACAATATGATAAACAAAACACTATAACAAGTTTTGGCGGTGATACAGGGGTACGATGGTTTATTGTAAACTGCGTTCAGATTTATTATTAACGAGGTTTTAGTATTTTCAAGAGTAGATTTATTCCGTACTGACTTCGACCACCGCCACGAACCTTGACTTTCTTCAGTCAGCCGCAAGAGAGACAGCCAATTAAAGGCATCACCCGACATTTGTTTTACCCATTTTTAGTTAACTAGTTCTAGGAAAAAATTTCTTTTGGAAACTCCCTTCCGCAGCCTCTCAAAATTTCCCAATACTCTGTAATTTAGGAGGCCCCCTTCAGGGGCTTCCGGAGGCGAACCAGCCCCAGATTGAAAGCCTCCATAATAAAGAAAACCTAACCCAACCTATTACGTATTGACAGATTTCTGTTTTACTTAAATGAGGCTGCCAAAATCAGTGGAAACGTAGGGAAAATATCGTATGACCTTGCCAAATTGTGAGTTCTACAGTCCACAAGCAATTTTATATCTTCTATGTGGTTGTATCTAGAAGTTGGTTAAACTTATAATCATACAGGGGAGGACAGCTCAAATAGCTCCCGGGTGCAGAATGAATCCATCAAGAATTTCGAACCCCATTCAGCTCCAAAATGTTACCACCAAACAATTACTCTTGCAAGCTTGCAAAGCAAATTTAAAGACATCATTACATTAGCTTTATTCACCCACAAAAACACACATAAGGGCATTCGGCCTACTTGTGCTTACGACTCACTTGTTTATATCCCAAGATCCAATACCTCTTCTGACAACTTGTTTCCTCTGTCTTGTCATAATTCAGAGCGATGCTAGCGGAAACACACTTTTCCCCAAAGCAGCCACGTGCTGACAAAGTCTCAAGCAAAAACCGGGTCATCAAGCGACGAAATTTGTGGAGGATGATTTTCTCAGAACAGATGGCTCGTGCGTACCAGAAAGGAGCGACTAGTTAAGTTGTGCCTCTTTGCTCGTATTCGTCTTGTTTATTTGATTTTCCGGGAATCCTATGCTTCTGCTATTGGTTTTCTTCGAATTACGAATGGAATGTTTTGAAAGAATTGGATGTATGCATATGTACAACAAAAACTTTTGTTCAAAACGATACATTGAGTAAACCCGATCCCCAAATTCTGTTGTATCTCACTTTTATCTTCTAGATTCATTGGGAAAACCCATCTTATCAACTTTTCCCTATTTCCGTTTAATTACAGTCGGCAAAGTACAGAAGCAATCATCTCACAGATCAGTGGTGCGATGCCGGACGCCATACGAACGTCAAGTTACCATCCCATCCCAGACTAGTCGTGTGGAGTCGATCGATGAATCCACAAACTCTTCCATGGCGTCATCGGTAGATGGCTACTCAACGATCGGTGATTCGGTGTCCGTGGTCGCAGATGTGACCGAAATGGCAGACCTGGATGACAACAGTAGAGCCAGCGATCAACAAGTCTTGGTGCAGCAGCCCCGCATTCATCACGGACCACGAAGTCGCCGGTCCATCAGCGTTTCCTCCAGCGGATGCTCGAGTTCAATGGACGACAGAAACAGTGACTTTTCTCCGTTGTATAGTGGTAACAGTTGTCGGTAAGTTGATGAATGCAATCCAAACTTAACGATAGCCACTTAATATTATTGTTCTCATATTTTAGCTGTACATCCCTCAGCATTTCGGATTTCGACGACGATGGTTTCCGCGAAGATGGCAGCATGTCTTCCGTTTACACAGTATTTTCTTCTCCACGGTCACATCACCCGCATCATCAGCTGCATCACAACCACCAGAACGTTCCGCATCACCCGAACAACACCAAGGGATTGTTCGATATTGCACTGAAAACGGTCAAATTGATCCGGCGCAACCAGGAACTTCAGATGCGGTTGGCTCAGCTCCAAGAGGAAACCAAAGCCTTTATCGAGTCTGTGATGGCAAATCCGGAGAATGAATCATTGCGAAATCACATCCACACGGGTGGTGCCATACGGACGACGCCGGCACCGAGCATCGTGGTTCAGAAGTGAGAGGGCTCCGACGCCGTTACGACGGTGCCCCAAGAAGCCAGCGATCTCAATCATCTTGCTTGAAGTTTTTTTTTACGACTTGATTTGTACAAGTCGTGCCCCTATTCGAGAGTCTGAGCGAATTCCAATGATTAGGTTTGTTTTCACTTCTTTTTGGAAGATCTATTATGAAGCGCATCAAAACTGCTTAAATGAGATATCATTTGGTTGTTCACAAATAATTAGTGTTGATAGGCTTTTTTTCGATCTTATTTTTTTTTTTACTTATAAACGTCTGTCAGCATCGTCAGACCCGGTTACACGATCCTTATTTATTGAAAAGCTGTTGCAGCTTCGGAGAATTGTTCTGAGAACAACAACCACAATCATATTTATGCTGTTCAACAACAGATAAAACGTAGAGGTAGGAAGTCAACCGTAGGTTGCATAAAAACGCTTAATACCACAAAACATTTTGCAACAAAAAATGAAGAAAACTTGAGAAGCAATCATTTGAGACACTTTCATCAACTTGCATTTATGTCGTGAAGAAAACATAAATTTAGAAACATTAAAACTTATCATACGAGCTGCTTTTCGGTGTTTCTTGAAAAACTTTTGTCGGCCTGTTTCTTTCGAAATCGTAACTTGTTAGTGATAGTGGCTTTCACTCTAAATCATAATTAAAACATATACATACATATATCGATCATAAGTCATCATAAGCCACAACATGTGCGTAATGTTAAGACACGTGAGGTACTGAATAAAACTCTCAAATTATATTAAAACAGAATCTTACAAACAGCGCAATGTATTGAACTTGAAGAAAGCTCCCCGTGAAATACCCATGAAAGTTACTGTTTCTCTCCCAAACGAATACCTTGTATTTGGACGACTGACTTGGACTAAAGGGACTAAAATAATAAACTGTTTATTCTAGACTCTAGACACGTCCAAGTGTCGTTTTTTGGACCAAGCCAGTTTTGAAAATTGATATGCTCCGGATACATTTGTCTACTGACCAGTTTCCATCACATTAGATCCCATTAGTTGCGTTGTAGTGGTGTTGATCAGAACATTACTCTAACTGTTGACTATATGAGAAAGCTGGCTTCAATCTATCGCTGTCAATCCTTTGTTTCTTTCCCTTGATACAGATCACCCTGTTTTTGCCTCATCGCTCTATTAATTCGTATTGACGGATGTTGCAGGGGTCGCGTAGCAATATCTAGAAAATGCATTAGCAGGTTCCGAGATCATTGGGTAAAAATAGACGCAGTATCGAATGTTGCACGTTTTTGATGATGAAATAATTTCACAAAATCCGATCGGTCGTATTCCATCATGTGGAGCACAAAAATTTCGGCTGTGATGCAGAGAAATTGTCAGTAACCATTTCAATTTCGGAGCTATTAGAATGATCCCTAATAGCGGTCTGAAGTCCTAGTAAAATCAATGGCCGCCTGAGGGCTCCTACTAAGAAATAGTTCTACCTACCAGTTTTGTTAGATTGTTTCCAATGTAGTAGCAATAGTTGAATCTAACAGAAATTTTCTATAATCCGTCACCTAAAAAGTATCGATTTTGAAATTTATGAGATTGGACAAAATTTTGAAAATCCGTAGTGTTTCTACTTCCGTTTGATTGAAGTTATAATCAATGTTCGGACGCGGATGCGATGCTAATGTAGTCACAGTTCCTCAAAATCAAGGTCGCCGAAGATGCTATGGTTAAAAATATTGATTTTGCTTCACCCGATTCAATCGTTTCCAAATGAGGTCCTGATCAGTATACCGAAATTTCACCTCATTTGGATTCGAACTCGTACTGCACTGGTCCTTTGAAGTATATATGGGAATTACTATGGGAAAAGGTAGCTTTTTGTACTAATCGAACTAGCCCTCCTTCATAATGATGAATGGAAAAGTTTGCTATATGTGAAATTTTCCCAGCTACAACTTTGCTCAAGACCTCTTTTTGTTTGAACGTCTAGAATATGTTTATAATGGTGATTCTGCATCAAAATATGCGAGAGTTGTGATGAGTTACCGAAAAAGATATATGTAGATCTAGAATATGATTTTAACTAAATGAACCAGCTGAAAATATCATAAAATTTCCCGAATTCGAATTATGTCTAATGGCATGAATTCTAGCACAATTCTGCTTTATTTAAGGAAGCCGAGAAAATTCATGGCAATAGAAAGGAATGCACAGTCGACGCAATGTCGTCAAAAGTGGATTTTCTCAAAAATGAGTTGAATTTTCCGGACTTTTCCAGGAAAAGCTTCTCGAATATGAGGAAAATCTATAAAGGTTTCACTCAGTCTATTACCGTAAAGTACCATAATCCTGTGCATCATCTAAGGTTCAAATACGACTCCTCTAGAGTGAAGCGAAAGTGACGGTACTCCGTGAAAAAACGTATCATTGTCGGATCGTACTCTGTCCGTGTGTTCTACTTATGTATCGCCGCCTGTGCTATGCACCAAGCCCATTATTGTTCGGAAAAGGGATGGAAGCTCTGATATTCTTGGACTGCCGAACTACTAAGGGGCTGTTCATAAACTACGTAGATATTTTTTTGGGATTCTTGACCCCCCCCCCTCCCCGTGCGTAGACAATTGTCCGTACAAAATTTTTAAAATTTGTATGGGCCGTAGATAGTTGTCAACCCCCCTCCCCTCCCTAAACTGTCTAAGTAGTTTATGAACAGCCCCTAATTATAGCCATGAATCCTGGCAGCCAGTCAAGCCTATAGTCGCTATATTCGATAGCGATAGAATCTCGGGAATCAATTTAGCTGTCAAATAGCGGAACCAATCGAGCAAATCATGACCAACAACAGAAAAGAGCACATCAGTTATTGCAAACAAAACTTCGGAACCCCTTTTCTCGTGACTCAATACTCGCCTACGCAAATTAATACCATCTTTGGGTTGTGGAAAGTTTCCCCTATCCGATGATGCTGGTAATTTGCGTTCGATTGACGAGGAAAGAATAATCAATGTTTAGTTTATAAAAGTTGATAGTGCCTTTTCAATTGTTGGTCTACAATATATTGAATTGGTTCCGCTTTTTGATAAATCGAAATTCTATCCGCCAGACTTTGAATATAGCGACTATAGCACAGAACAGAAGGGGAAGTGCAAACAAATCCGTGAATCAAAAAGTGGTTCGTTTTTCTGCTCAACAAGCGATGTGTTGTGGTAGCGTTCCACACGGGCTTTCTATGTACACTCACACTATCATAGCATGCTGCCTATCTTAACTGCAGGTAGAAGATGCCTTCCACCGCTAGGTGCGCTAGTGTTCGCAAATGACAAATGGAGCCACTTTCTAATCCGAAGTTCCACTCCTGTGACTATAGTCAAGCTCATTATTGTTCGGAAAAGGGATGGGAGCTCTGATATTCTTGGACAGCCGAACTACTAATTATAGCCATGAAACCATGAAGCCAATCAATGCGTGTGTGTGCTTTCACTCCACGTATGATTTTTTTAATCGATAGAACAAAGTGCTTGTTTTTCCGTTCCTCATAGTTAAATTCTTGAAAAAGATTTCAAAATTATGCTAATCCTCAGAGAATCCCATCAGGGTTCACGTAATACCAAGTAATGTACAGTAAGAATTGAGTTGTTCCCCTCGCATAAACGCTGCATTAAGTGGCAGTTACGCAAAAATAAATTTCCATTGAACCTCCAACATCCAATCGTCCGATATAGCCACACCAAGCAGAGCCGACCGAAGGAGTACTCCATTTGAAGTTCGGAAAATTTGACGATCACAGTCAAGCAGACCAGTTTTGGTGAGATCATTCCATTTGAATCTTTAAATTAGTAATATGATGAACATTGGATGCATTTGGTGAGATCCTTCAATTATAATGTATTATATAAACCATTCATTTTATCATATATGATTGTTAAATTCACTCTTACATAACTTAGAGCGTTTGGCACGGTATATCCACGCATCCTTTCACCCCGGTAGATTCACGAAATGCATCGCTGTTTAAATATATTTATTAAAACTCGAATTATTTCACAGAATCATCTTTGCTGCAAATGCAACGCAGTAGGCCTGGCCGTTTTGATGTTTGTGTTATATCAAATATATGCTGTAAACATCAATGTTGACAAGAAACGTTATTAGGTGTTATCTAACCTAATCATTTTCCAGGATGCTTTCTCGTACTGGCTGCGTTTGTATTAGATTAGATTAGATTAGATTAGATAATCCTGCACAGCACTTAATTTCACGCATTTTGCCAAAGTTTTATAGTATATTACAATTTAATCTAAATGTACATTTTCCCATACACAAGTGGTTAATACAATGATGCACAATTCAATTCAAATTATATACAATTTAGAATTATTTTTTAAATTTCAATACTGCGTGAATTTAGGCCTTAGGTTGTATTCCTAGGCTGAGTAAAACTTCCCATATTCGAGAAGTTTTCCTGGAAAAATTCGAAAAATTATACTCACTTTTGAGTCTATCTGATCGTCCGTGCACATCCACTCAAATTAAGCACAGCGAGCAAAGCTCACTCAACCACCCATCGTGCTTTACAATCTGTTTTATTATACTAGTGCTCTCAACTGTGCTAAGCTTTATACAGCTTATAATTTTGTTCCTGGATGTTTATACATTGAAAGTACTGTGCTTTTATCAGCATGACACTTTAAACAGCCGTACACAGCCAATGAGATCAAACGAAATTTGAGTTCAGTTTACTAATAATCGCAAAAAGTGCAGGAACTTAGCGATGAGTAAATTTGCCTAATGTTTTTCTGTGGTTAACCTCAGAAATCTGGCGGAAAATGAGGAAAATATATAAAAAGTTTACTCAGTCTAGGAGTAGTACCAATAGACTGAGTGAATCCAATCTTTACCTTTCTCATATTCGGGATTTTTTCCTGGAAAAACCAGGAAAAACCCGAGGGGGGCGACACATCTAAATCTCAATTCTAGATGCTAGAAAAATCTCACACTAGTGAATAAATCTTCGAAAAATCTTCTTTCATTTCTCGCATCTACTTGCATCGCGCATCATTTTTTGCAGGAAATCTTCAAAATCGTGATAAATCTTCTTTCTATCTACTCAGCGTACGCGCAGCTAGCCACAACAAAACACAATATTTCCAACACATCGTAGATAGAGTCGCCCCCCTCGGAAAAACCTGGAAAAACTTCAGGCAAATTCACTCATCGCTGAGTTCCTGCACTCGTTCTCATTGGCCGCAAAGAAATCTTTTTAATCTGTAGCTGGCTGACAAAAATCTGTATAGGGTTTTTGATCTAATTTCCGTCCTACTAAGCACATCCCGCACCTCTCTTTTTTGAAAGGGTTTGAAGAAAACATGGAATGTTTTCATCAACAATAATTTCTAAATTTATTCACCTTTTCATACGTATCGTTGGATTTGATAAAGAGTCAAACTTTGATTATAAATTCTTCCTACGACTTTCAATGGGGTTCTTTAATTTTGAAAAATATATCGGTTTTTATATATCATCTGAGAGAGCTTCGTTTTCTGAACAAAGCGATATTTTTTTCGAACCCACACACTTTCATCTCGATTTTTAAATCAAGATTTAAAGCAAAATAATAACTTCACTGTTTGACACCAAACTGATAAACTGACAGCTCACTCCCATACAAAGTGACACCGAGGGGCGCTAATAAGGTGATTTTTGCAAATGTAATCGTACTTATTTAAACTAGTTCCAGTGTACCAAAATTCATGAAATTTTGTTTTTGGGTTCCATTTTTAAAGCAGATTACGAATATGCAT